ACCCCGTTCGACCTTCCATGCGCAGGAGTCCGTTCTCAACTTATAAATGAGACTGGATTTCTCGATTTTCAACCACGTCCCGGCCGGAAGTTGCAAGTTCTTCATCAGGATCTTCAGTTCGCTACTGAACGCATCCGCTTGTGCCATCCGCATCAACGAAATTTCCGCTTGCTCATACTCCTTCTGATTCAGCGGCGTCCGCAGCATCGGATAATCGATCGGGAGAATGATGTGCGCTTGCCTTTCCGTTGGTTTCAGCGTTTCGAGCGGCGATCCTTTCAGCTTTCTTCGACAGTTCGACAGGAACCTAAATACGCAATCCATCGTCCTTACCAGCACCGTCCACTTCGAAATTCTGTTGACGTCGATTACGGGAGCAGGAAGGTTAACGTCGTGAACAAGCAGATGCGCTCTCAACTCTTCTTCTGTATCTGGACCTGGCAACTTCTGCTTCGGCCAGTCTGCTTCCGGTAGATATAGAAACTCTGGCACGGTGAACCAACTGCTGGTTGAACTTATTTCAGGGTCTTTCGTCCACTTAGTCAGCTGGTCGGCGACGTTCATCTTCGTTGGGGCCCAGCGCCACTTCGACAGGTTCGTACGGGTTAGTTTTTTCGCCAATACGAAGACCTACGAACTCTTTGTACTTACGCTGATCTGACCTGATCCACGATAGCACAGTGGTAGAGTCCGTCCAGAAGAATTGTTGCTTAATTTCCAACGAATGGCCATCTCGCACCGCAGAAGCCAGCCTGGCTCCCAGCACTGCCACCTGCAACTCAAGCCTTGGAACTGATAGCGGCTTCAACGGAGCCACATTCACCAGCACACATCTGATCGTTAATCCCACCAAAGCTCGAAAATAGGCCACACACCCGTAAGCACCTTTGCTAGCATCGGACACTACGTGCAGCTGTAGATCCTCGATCTGGTCCATTCTAGCGTCTCCAGTGTATCTCCAGGGAATCCTGATCGCCTCGATCATCGGCAAAACTTTCGTCCAGCGAATCCACTTTTGGAATGATTCATCGTCGATTTCTTCATCCCAGTCGCAGCCAGTCCTCCACAAATCTTGTACCAACATGCGACCGAAAACGGTGAACGGAGAGAGCAAACCTTGAGGATCAAACCACAGACAAACAGACGTAACTCTTCATTGTGTATCTTCGTTCACGCATTTAATGGTTGATTTGAATATTATCAGTTCCGCGAACTACTCGCCGCAGCGCTGGCATCGGATCACTTTGACGTTTCTATACATTCTATAGAACTTTTATGCAATATTGTTTGCGAGTTAGCGAACAAGCTTGTTTTCCGCGAGAAGCCTGAAAGATGTCGCTACTGAGGTCCTATGTTTTGAGATACTATGTTTTCAAGAAAAACTTTTTCAAAGAGTTACGTCTGTTTGTCTGTGATCAAACATAGCCATGACACAACTGAACACAATCCTTTTCGTTGGTCGTTCAACCCCTTGTAAAATCAGTTGGTAATCCTCTCGTCCATCGGTAGAAAACGGGAAAATGTCCTCTTCTGGGTCCCATATGATTCCCAGAACTTGCTCGGTATGTGTGGTTTTGTCTCGACTGAAATGAAAAGCAGGATTCGACTTCTGTTCGCCCATCGCTTCTAGAAACTGTGTGGAGTTGGAAACCCAATTCCTGATATGGAAACCTCCTCGGGAATGAATGAATTTCACCTGATTCGCTAACTCTACCGCTTCGACGACGACATCGACGCTATCGTAATAATCGTTTCCGCAACCGATAATTTCGCCGGAGCCTCCAACTCACCCTTTATACCGAAACCGGAGCAACGGAAGATGCCGACATCACGACGACGACCGGGTGGCACGCTTTCGTCGTTGTTGTTGCTGCATCCCGCCGGCACCAACTGGGATTGATCCCAGGCCTGCTGGGGTGAGAGGTTATCGCGCTGACCACTACATCACCTGCGCCACAGATCTGAGAGCTTGCGGAATCAGAAATACTCCCAAAATATATTTGTACGGATGCTACGATACTTGAGCTCTTTTATAACTCCCTAAACGTACGGACTTCCAAGAACTTCGAGACCTCCTGTACAGGCTCTTGCGTTTCTCAGATCTTTCACCAGTTTCTGGAGTTTCAAAATTATTTGAGGAATTTTGAAAAGTTCCTGATGTTACAGGACTTTCAAGAATATCACTCAGAGTGTCCGTTGGGGACTGTTGATTAACTACGTAGACAGCCCGTACAAATTTGGACTCTACTCGGAAATCCCCACGCATCTGAAACATATAGACCGCTTTAACTGCTTAAGTTTCGGCAATGTTTCATAGCTTTTCGCATATTGATATCCTACTTGACAACTGACAGTCTCCAAGACATAATCGAAAAGCTCCGCACTTTTCTGGCTCTTCATCGACCCTACTCTTCGTCCCTATTCGCAAGCCATCATGCCGCGCATTCCACGATTTGGCCGCAGTGCAGTCGGCGCCCAAGTCTACCCGGCCTGCAACGAGGTGGAGCCGTGTTTTGCCGATCGCCCTTCCCTCGTGCGGCGGCCATCCGCTCAGATAAAAGCCAAAAAGAAAGCATGGCACACCGCACAACGAGAAGGAGCCGGCTGGTCGGAGGGGGAGGAATCTTATTTATTCTTTAATGGCCAGTGGTCGAACAAAACCGAATAAAGGAGACGATAATACCCATGCGGCCCCCAAAAGAGTGGAATCATGAATTGCAACTTTTCCCTCGCGCTCGCTCGACACAACACGCCACAGAGAGAGAGGAACCATTTGGTTGAAAGCTGACTTCCAGGCCGTCCAGACGGGATTTTCAAGTGGTTTCGGATTTAGACACCGGGTTGGCAGGCGTCTACTCATCCCCGAAATGGGCCCGGGTAAATGGGCCTGCTTTTGGAACAGGGGAAAGGTCAGTGACCGTTGGAGAAGGTTCGCTGCCACGATTGAGATGTTGTTTGTGGTTTTAGTTTTAGGTTATGGCTCCATAAAATTTGGGGGATTATAATCGTCAATCAACGTGAACAACACGCTCCGATGAGTAATAGGTAATAAATATACCTACCTACTAGGCAGTTTCTGGAAATGCTGAAGAGGAGAGCGAACAAATCGATAAGATATCAAACACACGTATGCATCGCTGCAGAACGTTATCACTTTTATGCAACCTATCATCCACGTTGTAAACAATGTAGTTGTAGCAACAACTTTGATACAGACAAACAGACATAACACATTGAATATTTCTCATTTTAAAACATCGTCGCTAAAACATTACCGCTATCTGTTGAGTTTACTGTGGTGGTCAGTAAGCTGAACAGATAGTGGTAGTGTGTAAACGTCAAACGCAAGGGAATTGACTATGCGCGCCACAGGTGGCGGTACTAGCAACCGGTGGAAACTAACGATTTTAAATTTGCTCACTACTTCCCGCATACCCGCATAAACGCGAACCATAAATTGACCTTACCTAAAATGGTTAAAAATTGTTTATAATCCCTGCTAAACTTTAACTGAAATGGTTATGGAACTTTACATGAACGTTTAATGATAAAGTTTCAACCTTATGTATTATGGTTTTTTGGAACTGGACCTTACAAATAATGGGTTGTTAAGAACCATTACCATTCCAAATTCTTGTTTTCTCCATACATTTTCAGAAAGAGAACTATATAAGAACGTTTTTACTTATGATTTGAGAACATTAATGGTAATGGTTATGGTAGTCAGTAAGGTCCATTAATGGTTTTGTATTGTCGCTCAACTTTACGTGGAATATATCGTGAATTGGTAATCAGTAAATTACAGGCAACCAATTCGCGATATATTCCACATAAAGTTGATCGATGTTACAAAACCATCCATGGACCTTACTGACTACCATAACCATTACCATTAAAGTTCTCAAACCATAAGTTAAAAGGTTCTAATATAGTTCTCTTTCCGAAAATGTATGGAGAAAACAAGAATTTGGAACGGTAATGGTTCTTAACAACCCATTATTTGTAAGGTTCAGTTCCACAAAACCATAATACATAAGGTTGAAACTTTATCATTAAACGTTCATGTAAAGTTCCATAACCATTTCAGTTAAAGTTTAGCAGGGATTATAAACAATTTTTAACCATTTTAGGTAAGGTCAATTTATGGTTCGCGTTTATGCGGGTAAATCATAACCATAAGACCATAAGAAGCGCCTAACCACCAATTCGAGATATCATCCCAACTTTATGTGGTCATACCATCTATGATATCGTTATTGTATGGTACCCGATTATTAGGGTTGACTAGCCTATTGGTCCCAACCAAAACGATTAACGTATCCCATTCTAGTCGAAATGCTAGTAATACACTATGTTTGTTTTGATTCGCTATGAAAGTTTGTCAGATAAAATGAGGGGTTCGTGGATTTTCCTATGTTTCGACGGGTAAATCGATTAGCTTGGGACCGAAGATAGTACCAGAGCTGAGCCAAAAAGTTGAGCACGTTTCTTCGGGACCTTCTGGTCTTAGAGTTACCTCTATGTTACTACCAAGTACGATACTCTCGATGCTACTCTTAAATTGACTGTTAAATGCTTGTTCGATGAACAACTTGCGAATGTCTGTTTGTCTGTGCTTTGACAATCACTAATCACTTATTAAAGTGTGCTGTGAAAAGAAAGTGCAAGAACGCCGCGCCGCGGCGGTCAGCAGCTCGCTTGTCTCGTGCAAACGCGATTATGCTACGATCGGCGTCTGCTTTGTTTTTGTTTTTGCTCCCTCTGCTGTGGCTTGAAGCGTCGCACGCGCGATAAGCACACACATAATTATTCTCACGCAAAAATAATACAAACAAAAATATAACAACTCGTCATCAGCCATCAAACAAAAGACCGTTGCCGCGAGAGAGAGAGGCAACGAACGAAGTCAATTTCTTCTCAGATTAGCATCCAATCGGCGCGGGAATTCTCAGTCTGATTATGCGGTTCTTGTGGGAAACACCGCCCTGCAGTGCACTCTTCTGACGCTGCCGTCTTCATTTCGCGTGTAACCGAAGAATCGGGGGAAAGTGTTGTTGCGTGATAAAACGTTGTGAACTTTTGATGGCGCCAAAAAAGCGACCACGACGACACCTAGGCCAGGAGGCCACCACCACCACCGGCTTTGTTTTGGTGGCAATTACCTGCAGCTTCAGCTCGCTGTTGTTGCTGCAGGGAGCTCCAGCCAGCCGCCGGTGGGAACCGGTACTTCGCAACTCCGTCCATCAGGTTCCCACGAAAGAAATGGTGGGTTACGCGCGGTGTGACATGTCTGATTTTAAGTTGATTACGATGAGTATTGTTTTTATTGTTGTGACAGTTTGACTTTATGCGACGCTACGGTTACCTTGAAAAGGGCCCCAGCCAGGCCGAAGCGCTGTACAGCGAGGAAGCAGTGGTGATGGCCATCAAGAACATTCAACGGTACGGGGCACTGCCGGAGACAGGGGTGCTGGATCCGAGGACGGTTCGGGTAAGTCGAATCGGTGCTAGTCATCCTCATTTGATTCTAACTTCATGGTCAGAACTGGCTTAAATGCGGTGAGTTAGGTGAGATGACTCCACCACACGAGATTACTACTGTCATTTCACTAGTGACTGAGAATCATCGCATCTCACCAACCGCGCAGAATAGCTCTGGGCCCTGTAACCGGTTAATTACAATGTTCTAGATTTTGCAAATGAGTTGGTAGCATTAATAGTAAATTTGTTAAAAAAGTACTCAGCAGGTGGTGAAAGTAGCATTTGCCACCAAAAAAAATATGAGGGTGGATGCTCTAATGTTCTTTGTACATCTACATATTCTCTAATGTTTACTTCTTGAATTTTCATCAACTTCTTCCAAGGACTATAATGTGTTTTAGTCAAATTCTTTCAATTAGACCAACATCCCAGAACATCCATGACCTTCTCCAAACATCAGGAAAGATCTTGCACCTTTTCTACTAATTTTCCTAGAAATCTGGGCGAAACTACTTAAGCAACACGCAAGTTCTATAACAGTTAATATAACCTTTATATAACTCGACTTGGTTGTAAAGAAGTTTACTCAAGATAATTGCACGAGAATGTGCTACTTGGGTGGTTCCCAAAAATTTCAAATCAAACTCCGGTTGTAAGAAGTGAGCTGAATTTATACAATTCTGAGCTTCTGCGAAATTTCATAAAATTCTACAATTTTGGCTGAACTCTTACGAAGTTCCTTGAACTTAAAAGAAAATCCCAGCTATTCTATGAAGTTCCTCGCATTTCTTGACTTCTACAAAGTTATCAGAATTCCTATGAAACTTGTTATACCCCTAAAAAGTTTCTTGGAATTTTTATAATTTCATTGATTTTATGTGAAGTTCCCAGAAGCTAATCAAAGCTTGCTACGGAATTTCCAGATCTACTTTAAGTAATAAGAAGTTATTTTAAACTTCAGGAAGTGCCTTGATGCTAAAAGAAGAACTTTTATGAAGTTTCTTAAAATAAACCAAAGTTCCCATAACTTCAATGAAGTTTCCCGAATTTCTTGAATTTCTTTGATGTCCTCTAAATATCTAAAAAAAAACCATAAATTGTAATAATCTAATGTAGTGGAAGAAAAAACCCAAAACTTCAACGAAATTTCACGAATTTTTTGTAAAATCCGCCATATTTACCAAAAGCTTGCTAATTTTCAAAAAAAAATCAAGATAGTTATCTAAACATATACAAACCATGCTACAAAATTCTGTGAAGTTCACTGAGCTTCTACAAAATTTGCTGAGCTTTTACAAAGCTTTAAAAATTTTATAAAATATGTTGTACTTCTAGAAAGTTCAATTAATGTCAACGAAGTTTTCGAAACTGCTACGATGTTTCTGCAAGATCTATGAAATGCTTTTAAATTCTACAACGTTCCCTTTACTTTTAAGAAGTTCTCCGAGATTCTACGATTTCTTAGAAATACAATTACCGTGGACCCCCTGAACACTTTTTAGCTTGAACCCCGCTAATCTGCACGCTGTGCAAAGCAGGGTTCTGCATTTTCGAAACAAAGACAAGAAAATGAACTCTCCGCAGAATCGCTTTATTTCGAGCAATATCATTTTCGTGAAGTCATTGTGTTTCTTGTTGTCGAGACACTATGGACATTTTTTCTGTCAAACATGACTTGACTATGGCTTGTTTCGTTCGTCAAGGGCATCAACTCATTTCATTTGAAGCAAAGACTTGTTTCAATTGACGCAATGAATGACTCAAAACATGCTTCGTTCGTTTTTTCCACTTTCTTTTCAATTCGGGGCTCATTCGATTTGTCACGCGTCGCGTCTTCAGGCATGAAAATATAGTATCCGCACAATATCGGATGCCGATAGGGATGGCATCTGGATTATATGTAGTCCGGATATTCTGGAGCTACCATCGTGCTCAGGAAAAGTCTCAAATACACTACAATATCGGTATTTTCGGAACGGGGACGACGCGAAGGAGCAGAAAATCGATGTCCGGCTCAGAAAAAAATGTCAACTACCCTAAGATACGGGTATTTTCGGAACGGGGACGACGTGTAGATGCCAAAAATCGATATTCGACGTCATTTTGTAATCCAAGATGGTGGTCATCGGGTTTCCGAAAAAGTATAAAATACCCTAAGATATGGGTATTTTTGGAAAAGAGACGACGCGTAGAAGCTGAAAATCAATATTCAACGCCATTTGTAGGGCTTCTTCTGAAATCGGAATCCACCATCTTGAATTTCAAGATGGCGTTGGACATCTATTTTCGGCCTCTAGATGTCACCTCGATTCCAAAAATAATCACATTGACAATGGTATTTGACAGTATTTCACACTTTTTCTGACTCAAACCCTGCATGTAAGATTTTGAAATGGTGTCAAACATTGGTTTCTGGCCTCTAGACGGTACTGGGATATCGAAAATACCCACATTGATGGGTATTTGACAGTGTTTCCCTTTTTTTCTTAAACTGGAAGCCGCCATATTGGATTTCAAAATGACGTCGAATATCAATTTTCAGCATCTAGACGTAAATACCTATATTGAAGGGTCGACATCAGAATTATCCACTTTTTCTGAAATCGGAAGCCGTCAGCTTGGATTTCAAAATGACGTAGGATATCGATTGTCAGCCTCCAGACGTAAGCCTGATTAAAAAATACCCATGTTGATGGGTATTTGACAGTATTTCCCATTTTTTTTTTCTGAAATTGGAAGCCACGATCTTAGATTTCAAAATGCCGGTGGATATCGATTTTTATTCTCTAGACGTCATCCCGATTCCAAAAATACCTATATTGATGGGTACTGGACCTCGTACTGGACAGTATTATCCGCATTTTCTCGAACCGGAAGCCCCCATCTTGGATTTCAAAATAGTGTCGCATATCTATTTCCAATCCCTAGATGACATGCCAATTCTAAAAATACCTATATTGATAGGTACTATTTCCCACTTTTTCTTAAATAGGAAGCCAACATCTTAGATTTCATAATGGCGTTGGAATTAAATTTTCATTCTCTAGACAGCATCCCAGTTCCAAAAATACCAATATTGATGGGTATTTGACAGTATTTCCCACTTTTTCTTAAACTGTAAGCCTCCATCTTGAATTTCGAAATGGCGTCGCATATAAAATTTTGACCTCTAGACTTCACCCCGATTCCACAAATACCCATATTGATGGGTCGGCATCAGTATTTCCCACTTTTTTTTTCTAACTGGAAGCCACCATATTGAATTTTAAAATGGCATCACATATCGTTTTCCGGACTCTAGACGTCACCCCGATTTCAAAAATACCCATGTTGATGGGTAAACAAACCACCCGACAATGATAAATTCGACATCCACGCGCACAGATCTTTTGCGCATGCGCTTAAATGAACCAAGTGAACAATTAATAGGAAAACAGTGCGAATTTAAATCGCATAGCTTCGCTTCAATGCGAAAGTAAGCTCGTTTGACAATGGAAGACGAAATGAACAAGAGCAGTGATGGAAAAGTTCTCGAAAACTCACTATGACTCGCAAACTTTTCCCTTGGTGAACTTCGTGAAATATCGCGATCTTTTCCAACACTGAACAAGTGTCAAGCCAATACAAACCGCATGAAAACTGATCTAAAGAGGTTCTGTTGATGTTGAAGGGGATATGCTCGAAGAGAAGACAGAATGACTTTCAATTGAAAGTGATGGTTGACAGCTTCGTCGTCGCTTGACGATTTTCAATTGAAAGTGACTTCGTTGGGCCCTGGTGCAAACTAAAAATTGCTCAAACGTCATCTAGCACATGGAACAGAGAGAAGCGAAATGCATCGTTGCGAAACGGAACGCAGGATCAAAATAATAAATCAAATAGGGCTACTAGAATCTCGCAGTCGGATCGGTCCAGTTCCGACTCCCGTATAGTGCGATGCAGATTTCATCCAGGGTATGTAAAGCTGAGTACTCGGAACTTGGACAGATTGCTAGTGATATCGAATTTCATACTGAAGGAGAAGTTCGTGCCGCAGTTTATGATTAAGAGCGAGGAGAAGCGGGAAATCCCGATGGAAGTGTACCTGTTGACCTACGTGAAGCATCCGAACATTGTCAACATGTTCGATTAGTTCGAGAACGAGAAGTTCTACCAGGTTGTGATGGAAATCCACGGCTCCGGGATGGATCTGTTCGAGTTTATCGATCGAATACCCGTGATGACGGAGAAGCAGGGTTGTTGGATCTTTTGACAGAATGCGAATGCGGTTGCTTTCCCGAACTCGTTGAAAATTCTGTACCAGGAGATCAAATACGAGAACGTTATCATCGATCACAATTTCCATATCAAGCTGATTGACTTCGGATCGGCGACGTTCGTATAGGAAGGGCAATTTTTGTGTACCGTCTACGGCACGACCGTGTACTGCCTAGTACCGAGTAGTTACCTCTATGGTACTGTTGTCCGGAAGTGTTGGCAGGCAACCGCTACTCCGGCCCGGAACTGGAAATGTGGGCTCTCGGTGTGACAATGTACGTGTAGACGTTCTTCGAGAACCCATTCGTGGACGTTGAGGAAATTCTGCAATCCTGAAGAAATCCTGCGAAGAATTGGAGTACGTGTTGCTTTCGCTATTGGACAAGAATCCCAAACTCGTTTCACCATCCAGGAGCTACTGGATACTGAATGTATGTCGCAGGAAATCAATTCGTCACAGTTCCCAAAATGTTGCCAGTTTCAAAATCGGGAAGCCAATCCGTTGAAGTGCTACGTAGTAAGATCATTATTCTTTCCATCGGTCTCACCCGTCTGTATCTGAGGGAACTGGACGGAACCTGGTACTGCTAGTGGTGTTAGATGGTGATGCTAACGATAAGGATGAGCATGGCATTGGTGGTGAGTCGGAGGCTCCGGCGAAATTATCTGTTGCGGAAACAAAAAATTGTTTGTGTCGACAATCAAATTTTGACACATCCACACTGCGCAGGCACAGAAATAGCAACAATCAAT